GGAAAGCGGGAGGTCGCCCTCGCAGACCCCCACCACCAAGCCCGGGGAGGTCTTTCGTCCCCCTCCTCCTGTGGTTGGCGTGGCCGCGTTGGTGGCGGGGTCGCCCCCCCGCGGCTTCACTGCCGCCCGGATCTCGAGGAGTTGGACCTCGGCGTAGAAAAGCCCACTCGGGGGGGCGATGGGGGCGTCCGTCTTGACGTGAAAGCTTTTCTTCTGCGGGTCCGACGAGGGGTCCGATCGCCGGATGTGCCGAGGGAGAAGGGGGGCGGAGGGGGCGAGAAAAGAGAGCGTGGAGACCCCCCCGCAGCCGGTGGCGTGGACGGGATGGTGCTGAAGAATGGTGTGGCTTCCCTGCTGGTGCAGGCCGGTGTGCGAGGTAGAAAAATCAAGCGACTGTGGAACGCGGAACTTCCATCCGGAATAAAACATTAGGTTTTTCTGTTGTTATGCTAAATTGAGGGTTGTGTGCTAATTATTTTTTCCAATAGATATAATGGTGAAATAGAATCTTTTTTTTTTGCGTTGTCCTTAGAAAACGAGTTATATAGATGCAACACCACTCGTTTTCCCGTTTGCTTGTCTATTGCCTTCTTCTTCGTATATAACACATCTAAAAGTAAAACCAAAAAGGTTCAAGGGTATAAAGTCAAAAAGTGGAGTGCGTCTACCCTAAATCATAGGTATTTTTAAAAAGGTACAAACATAAAAGATACCGACCGCTTAACTTTTTTGTTTTGAAGATTCTACCGTAATAGTAACACATTTCAACAATATAGGAAACACTCAACATTATATATATATATATATATATATATATATATATAAGCAAAAATTCTAAATATGACAATATGAGAAAAAAAAACCTCAAAACATGAAAAAAAATTGTAAAAATGCACCTGTTTTTTTACGAGACAAATTTACATTTACATACATTATTATATATATATATATATATATATATATATATTTATTTATTTATCTATATATTTCTGTGTGTATATGTGCATTTTTTTTCACTTTCCTTGTATGAATCCTAATAAACACATTTTAATTATCCTTTTTCTATTTTACTTCATCTTCTCTGTTTGACCATCTTCGATGGCATGAGCTGAGAAATAAATAGAAATCTATTGATGGTAGGCTTGAGTTATTAAATACATAAAATAATAACAATATATATCTTTTTAAAGTAACAAATTTAATTATTTTGATACTAAAAGTGAAAGGCTACAGTGAAATGTTGCACAAACAGGGAGATGTGTCAACTAATGCAAGATAAAAATAAAATACCCGAATGATACCGAACAAGAGAAATAGAACGAAAAATATGCACACCACTATAGGTAGAAGGGGAAATATGAAAGGTAGTGAGGCTATATGGAACCTAAATGATAAATAATACAAAACAAATTGTATTTAAATAGTAAATTAAATAAGATAGTAATGACTTTATTCATATAGATTCCTTATGATGTTCCTTCTTTTCATACTATTTCGATTTAATTCATAATGAGTATTACAGACAAGATAAACATTGTAAAGTTACAAAAAGGACATTAAAAAGGAAGTAAAGCGATAATAATGATAAAGTGGCAAATGAATAGACACATAAAATAAGATACACAACTGACATTTAAAGAAAGCAGATTTTTTATCGCAGTAAAAAGCCCATAAAATATTCCAGGATCAAGGATAATTATTACAAAAATTAAAGCCCTTTTGCGTTGTTGGCTTCCTTAGATATATAGTTACCTGCCTTCTAGATGGCCAGTACTTTAATTTATTTACCAAATATGGTGTACTTTGCGTTCTATGTATATTTACACAAAACTATCAGTTCAAAAATCGAGAAATACATAAACACTCAAAGCAAATAATCAAACGAAAACAGATTTAGATTAAAAACAGATCGATAGTAACGCGATTTGTATTTTTAAAATTAAACCCCATTCCATTTTCGCCTCTCCTTCACCTACTCTACTTTTATAACACACAGTTTATGATGGATATATATCATACTTATAGATAGATATGCATGTATGTGCATTTTAATCTTGTTCAATACTTCTCTATCACCTTTTCGAAAATATATCGTACTTTTGATAACGAGGCTTCGTTTTAGATTAAAAGAAAAAGTATTTGATAGTGCGAAAAATGACTCTTCTCATGTTTAATATCCCTCAATTGTAATTCCTGAATTTTTATAGGAAAATGTCATATCCTTTGACACTACTAAGCACTGTAAAAGCAATGTCCAAGGCCTGGAATTAGGTGGCCCCTCTGTATCGATCTCCCTATTCGTCCGCTATCAAACATTTTTAGACTAGGTATACCAGCCTCCATACTGTCACAGTTGGAAAAGTAGTGCTCCCCAAACGCCAGGAACCCTCTCCCACCCCCTGGTGGTAATGTCAAGTCCAAATGCCACACGAGCACAGGGATGAGCAAACAAGAGAAAAAGACTCAACTCCCCCGCCTGTAGACGCAAACACCGGTGTCTGCACCGTTAATAACCCCTGTTACACCTGAGCCAAGTTTACCTTTCGCGTATTATATTTCCCCACCTTTATTTCCCCTTTCGCCCTTTGGTTTCCCCTCTCTCTCTTTTTTTTTTTTAAAGTTCCTTTGTTTGTTTGGTTGTTATTTCTTTCTTTTCTTTGCGCATGTTTGATATTTTGCTCCTCTATTGTCGTCTTACTGCCCCGTCAGGTGGTAGCCGGATTGGTGAACCACGCGGGGTTGGGTGTGGGGCACTGGTAAGGAAGCCAAGCCATTAATCCCCCCGCTGGAGTGGGACGTCCGCGGCGGGGGGGCTTCGTGGCCGTTCACGATGAAGGAGCTGCGGGTACGCAAATGGCCATGGGTCGAACAGGGGTAGGAAATGGGCTCGGGGAGTTGGGAGGAGCTCTGGCGATCCGTCTTGGCCCGTATGGGGCTGGAGATGTTCGTGCTGGAGCTGGAATGGCGAAGCACCGGGAGGTTGATATCCAGCGGGGACGGCACCAGGTTCCGCCGGAGCGGGGGGTCGAGCAAACGGACATAACGATACAACTCGTCCCCGGAAAGAAAAAAATCCATGTTCATCAACTTCAACATCCACTCCTCCATGACGTTCAACTCCTTCGTGGATAACGAGCACGCCTGGGCGAAGTTGTGGTTATTCAAACTACGCAAATCCACCACCTTGATGGCTACCCGCAAGGCCGAAATGAAGAGTTTCTCGATATTATGACGCGAGATAATTAGTTTTTGATACCGCGAACACAAGCGGTCAATATAAATCACAGCAGCAACTAAAACGCTCGGTGAGATATAGGTGAACTCAGAAATATGGCTCAAAAAAGCTGTGTAGGGCTCGCAGCGGCCGGTAGAATTAAAAACGGAAAAAGCATTATATATCTTTTGCTCATTTCCCTCAATGTGGTGCCACTGATGCTTCTGAATGTTCTGAGAAATGCAGTTTGATAGATACTCATTCCCGCACACCACAGCGTTCATAGCCTCAGCAATGGAGGGTATTATTTGCAAAAATTCAGGTTTGTATTTATCGAGAAGTATTTCGATCTCAGTTGTGCTCCGACTGTGTGGATCTAATGGCTGCAATGGGCGCTCGTTGGGGGTCATTAGCAGCGGCACCCGTTGATTTCGAGAAGCAAGCACTTGAGTTCGATACCGCCCCTCTGAACTATTGCTAGGAAAACGCAGTACATCTCTAAAGTAGATTCGCTCATCGGCAGGGTACCACACTTTCGAGAAGTTATAGTGCGTTTGCGAAGTCTCTTTTAATCCGTAGTGCCGCTCAAGCTCAGCCATGAATACATCGGGTTCAAAATCCAAAATATTCGACTCTGTTTGCTTTCCCCACTTATCCCGAATGTGCTTCCACACATCCGCCTCAGAGAGTTTAGTATTCATCAAAAACACTCTATAGCGCATTCGAGGACTGATGCTGCTTTTGTCTGGCCCGAGCTCTAAACATAGCATTCGAATTAACTCTTCTTCACGACTTTTAAACTCCTTCAAGAGACCCTCGGCGGTCGAATTGCGCACCCATTTGGCGTTGTGCGATTTTGGCGGGTAGGTGCAAAGAATATCCTGCACGCGGGATAGGTAGAAATTCGGAGCGTACTGATGAAGAAGTGTTTTATAGATCACCAACTCCGATTCCCCGCGTGAAAGACGCTGGGAAAACAACGCCCTCGTCGTCTGCTGCGCAAACAGCCGTCCCGATCGGCTAGGATAGAGCAGATTCAGCATCTGGACGTCATGCTCCAATCGCCGAGACGCGGCAGGAATAAAGTGCTCACGATTGGAAAGCTGTGTTAAGTCGTTTTGCACATTTGGCAGGGAAACGGTGCAGGAGACGTGGCCGAGTTGGAAGCCGACGGAGCGGCAGACAATTTTATGCCGCGCCACCTCCCCGTCGGATACTAAAAACATCGAAAAGAGATCGATATTACTCATCTCCCCCTCAATCGTTGGGGTAAGCCAACGGGAAGAGAGAAATTGGGTGTGGACCTGGCGCATCCCAATGCAGACGTCAATAATGACCTTGAGATCCTCGCGGGTTGGGAATTGGAGAAGAAAATGATTGGGGGCATCCTTGGATGGGGACTGATGGGCACTAGGGTCCCCACCCGAATAACTCACCCCGGGAGGGTCTTTATCACCAATTTGAGTACTACTGCATTCAAAAAGGCTCATACTATGATCCACGATGTCCCTCCCACCCGCCGGACTAGAGTCGTTGAGATTGTACAAGCTATCAAAGTCTACCGTGCACCGATCACGGCATACACTAATGGAGGACGGTGAAAACCCAATCACCTGCTTGGTGAGCTCACGCGACATCAATCGGTGGCCATTCGAATAATACTTACACTTGGGCTGAATTACCAGCTCAAAATACCCCTCCATAGGGTCGATCTGCGCCATTGCCGAGGGCATGCCAACAATACAGTGGATCTTCAGCAGAAGAGTCCTAGTGCAGAACGTTGGGCGCTCACTCGAGGAAGAGCACAGATGTAAAAGGGTATCATTTTCGGGATCGACGCCAGATAATTTATGAAGCTGCGTCGAAGTGTTCACTCCAGAGGGGGTAGGTTCAACCGCGTCCATGGCAAATATCGTTTTTTTTCTTTTGCGCGCGCACCTCTACAGTCCTTTTCGCACTCACACTAGATTTCCTCCAGATGGCCTCCCAAGTTCTTAGGATCTAAAAATGTAAACAAAATGCCTTAAAAACCCTTGATTGTGTTAATAATTAGATATATTGGCTCACAGGTGGTAGTATGGGATACTGAAAAAAAAGGAAACCTGAATCCTTCCTGAAATAATATAAGTAAAAAGGAATGATACTAAAAAAATGAACAACTAATTCCCTGCACAGCTAAACCTAAGCTTCATAGATGATGTATTGTGGTGAAAAGATATATGGGGGAAAAACCACAGTGAAATGAAAGCCACATAACTTAACAAAAATCGTGAATAGGTGTATATACCATAAAGTAATAGCTCTATCACCTCAACATTCGCTATGAGTTTTCTGTAACACTACAAAAATGATAATTATTTACAGAAAAATAATGCGGCTTTGTTCTCCTTCGGCAGTACAGTTCGTTTTTTCTAATAACCAATGAAAGGTCCATCTCATAGGAATATATTACAAGAAGCCGAATCCATCGCTTAAATAACATTCATAACGTGTTAGAAAAATACGAACGATAAACGGTTTAAAAGGGCTATATTCTGATAACGCTATAACTATTAAATGATAATATGCAAATTAATTGGTACGGTAGAAATAAAATGCGCAAACTGAAGTGGGTAGTGAGACAAGTATATTCTGCAGAACCCGTATTACTGACAGCTCTCATGAGCGGTTAGCAAAATTAATGAATGTATTTGCCTCAGGTTTTTGTCCTTTTTTTTTTGTGTGGGGGGGGGGGGGGGGAGGGGAAAGGATTCACCTCAATAGAGCGGTTGGGGTTCCATTAATTTTCTAAAGTCCTAAAATTGTCATAATTTCTTTCGCAATGGGTCTTGCATCCACATTCGAACCGGATTCAATGGAAGGAAGCGTATATTGTAGTGTGGACTTCACCATTTTGCACAAATCATCGAGACCGATTGACTCCACATTCGAACACGCGGCGTGAGGTTCTACCTGGGTGAATTTACTAAGATAAAACAACGTGAAGAGGGCCCGCAGTACTTCTACGGTGAAAGCTGATCCAATCGGCTCGTACAACAAAAATTTTGCGGAAACGGTGATAAAAAGTCCTGCAAGCGATGAGGTCAGGCCATCCTTCGCATTAAAATTCTCCCCTGTTGGATTCTCCGTCGTCCACAACCCCTGGTTGGACAAGGTGGGCAGGTACAAACCGAGGTTAATCAGAAGACTCACCAGGGATGATTTAATATTCCCATTGATCAGTTTCTGAAGCGCGAAAAAGGTCAGACGCTTCGTGGTGCGCCCCAATAAAGTGATATGGGCCTGTGAGATTTCACATGGAACCTTCACTTGCACCGCAAAGACATTGCACAAAAGCCGCAGCGAGACCAGCGTCTCGGCATCGCTCATCATCGCATTCTCGTCCACCAAAATCCCATTCGGGGCCATTAAAAGCGCCTCAAACGCATCCAGGAGGATGCCCATCGCGGTGGCTATTGAATTCCCCCGCCCTGGCTCCCCCATCAGCTGATAAAACCAAAATCGAATGGTGTCGAGGAGCGGAAAACGGCACCCTTCGGGTAAAATCTTGCCCAGTTCTCCTACCTTTTTGCAAAACACGCAAAGCTCATCGTTCGACAGAATCGGCGAGTCCGGGATGCGATTCAGCTGTTGATAAAAAGATTCCAGTGAGGTGTCGAGGTGGGATGCCGCACCCCCTTGGAGGAACTCATTCAATTTGCGTTGAA